TACCATCTGTGTAACCCTGGGCATGTTATTTAACTTCTTCCTCCCTCAGTTTCTTCATCTATAAATCAGAGATTTAAAATCATACTTCCTCAGTGGGTCATTATGAGGATTAAAATACTGGAACATGAGGAAAACACTTACAGCAGGGCCTAGACAATAACACGGGCTCAATAAATGTCAGCATATTTACATTGCTATTGTTATTACTATTTAATATAGAAAAGAAAGGAGACCCAAGCAAGTTGGAGTAGTCAAAAATTTGGAAGAGCACCTGGTATATGAATGTGCCTTGAAAGATAGGTAGAACTTTAGAGGTAAGAAGAAAACAAAGGTAGTAAGCACAAAAAGAGACCAAAAAATTAAGGACCAAAAAAATTAAGGTTAAAAATGGGCATTTTGGACCATAAACTCAGCTGTATCAAGTGGGCCCATTTATATGCAGCCTGAATGCCAGGCAGAGGAATATAGCAATAACTCAACAGATAACAGGAAGCTCTTAACAGTTTTTATTTTTATTTATTTATTTTTTTAAATCTTTATTTATTTTTTTTGAAAGAGAGACAGACTGTGAACAGGGGAGAAGCAGAGAGAGAGGGAACACAGAATCCAAAGCAGGCCCCAAGCCCTGAGCTATCAGCACAGAGCCCGACGCAGGGCTCGAACTCACGAACCATAAGATAATAACCTAAGCCGAAGTCAGATGCTCAACCAACTGAGCCACCCAGGTGCCCCTGTTAACAGTTTTTAAATAGGACAATAATGCATTGAATGCAGGATTTCAGAATTCCTGGTTGGGCAACTTGCCAGTCTGAATATGAAGAACCAAACTACAAGGGCATAAACCACTGATGAAGTTTGGAAACATGTGTCTACTAAAATATTGAATATCACTCTGAGAATTGGATACCAATAACTAGAATCTTCCAGAATGGACAGTTATATACAAAAAGAAATGCCTACTATAAAAAGACCAGAAGAATTATTTGTAGAATATTTATAAGTTAAGTAGCATAGAGATACTTCAAGAGAATGTTCAAAATCATGACAATGACATGCATAATAATGCTTTTATCTTTGTATAAACTTCTTTCTCTAGAACATCTCTAAGGGTTCCAATTTAAGGGATAAAGCATTTGTTTTCTAAAGGACATTTGTCCTCCACTACCTTTTCCCAAGAAGAAAAATACCTTCAGAACATACCCACAACCACCTCCAGCCAACATTATACAACCTTACTAAATTTTTTTTAATTTTGCCACCTATAAAAATTAAAATCTCAGAAATCATTTGTGAAATCCTGAGCTAATAACTGGGATCCTCAACAGAACCAAATCACAACACTTAAGTCCCTGACAGAACTAATGGTAAATGGCATTCAGTTGTTAATGTCATTAAAATAAAATTTTAGTAAATCAAAATTTACCCAAGACAATCATCAAGAAGAACAATGGCCACTGTTAAATCAATTTTTGGATTCTGGAAAAAAATGTTTAACAAGTCATAGAATTCAAATAACCAATGGTACAAATTCTTATCTAGTTCCAAATTCTTATCATATATTTTTCAAAGATTTTATTTTTAAGTACTCTCTGTGCCCAACATGGGACTTGAACCTACGACCCTGAGATGAAGAGTTGCACGCTCCACCGACTGAGCCAGCCAGGTGGCCCTCTTCTCATCATATTTAAAAATTTATAGCAACACACTAAAGGGAAATTCCACATCCCTCCTTTAACCACATAAAATACAAACATCCCTGGCATCCTTACTCTTTTTTGTCACCAAGGTTACCAACACACACAGTCTGCTGTTTAAACCAAGGTAAAATGAAGAAATCTATTGTTAGTATGCCTTCACAATGCCTGACTCACTATGTTATGGAACACTTAACACTTCAGTTAAGCTCTACTGGCCAATAAAGGTTGATAATGAAAACACAGTGAGTCTGCTAGGGGTGAATTTTACTGTGTCTGAGGGCCATACTGAACAGCTCATAATAGCCAGTCTCCTTGTTACATCATTTAAAGGGAGCTAGAGAAGAGCAGGATTTGAAATCCCACAATATATCAGGCTCCAGGAGAAACTCTAGAAGTAACAACCTTGAATCTATTAAATGTGATCTGCTTAAACTTTCCAGAAAGTCTACGGCAGGGCAATATGCCAAAAACCGTTCAAGAAAAAACAAGCAAAATATTTCACCATGTAATTGGAAGTAATATGTTAACAATGAGAGGAAATCCATTTGGAAATAGGAAATAAATTTTTTAAAAAACAGGAAATAAATGATAAAGGTAACTATTAATCAAAACTGCATGACAAAACTCAGACTATCATCCCTAGAAATTAATGGTATCATTTACAGAAGAGCAGCACATTTTTTATTTCATATGTTCATGCAAAATGGGAAATAATGAACCACTTAAAAACAAAATCCTCAGTAGAATACTTGTGATTAAGTCCTATAAAAAAGAGAAAAGTGGAAATAGGCACATCCGATTAGAAAAGATCAAAGGCTGTTGAAACATGGGCTAGCGAAAGTATGAGGAAACCAGCATTCTCATGTTGTGGGCAGGAGTGCCTCCATAGAGATATTTGGCACTATCAATCAAAATCATTAATATACATAGCCCTTTGACTCAGCAATTCCATTTCTAGGAATTTATCTGGTAGATACGTTCACATATATGCAACGTATATAAATGCAAAAATTACACTGCAGTGTCAGTAAAACACAAGAAACAACTTGTCAATAGGAAACAGTTACATAAATCATGACCTATCAATAGGAAACAGTTAAATAAATCATGACCAATCCAAACAATGCAGCTTTATATAAAAAGAATAAAGATATATTTATTAATTTGGGGTTGAGTGGAAAAAAATGCCAAAAAATATATAGTTTTTAAGGATACAATTTGTGTTGAAAAGGAGGGTGGAAAGGATATATATGTATATACATGCATCTATATAGATCATTTCTGAAAGTATACACAAGAAAATGTTAGCACTGGTTGCTTCCAGAAGAGGAAATGAATGGCGGGAAAAATGAGACTCTCCTTTACATGCTATTGTATCTTTGGAACTTCAAACCCTATGAATATATTACCTAAAAAGAAGCATAAATTAACCAAATTTTAAAGGCAGGAAGGGGTGAAGGGTTAAGAAGATTGCCTGAGTACCAAATGTTACCCAGTAAATAAGTGCTCCACTGTGGCCTTTTTTAAATTGTCTCTTTTCTCCACCTAATGTAGCTCTTTTCCATTTCCTCCTGTTAACTTTCCCAGTCCATTTTGCTCTTTCATGTAGGCCTATCATGGACATGGGCTGTAACTATCTAGTCCTGCTGGGAGTACTAAACGCCAAAGAGGTTGATAGACTTTGTTCCATTAATCATCACATAAAATGGGCAACATCAACAGCTGTCAAAGAAATGCTTACTTACACAAGGGTAGATAACACCACTCACGTAAAACAAGAAAAAAATGAGGGGGGGAAAGATAGTGAAGTGAACATATGGTTTCATTAATATTATAAAAAATTCTTCCAAAACTAACTTTTCCTTTAATGTTTATTTATTTTTGAGAGAGGGAGACAGTGAGTTGGGGGGAGGGGCAAAGAGAGACTCAAACAGGATCCGAAGCTGGCTCCCAGCTGAGAGCAGAGAAACCAATGCAGGGCTCTCAAACTCAAAGAACTGTGAGACATGACCTGAGCTGAATTCAGATGCTTAACTGAGTCACCCAGGAGCCTTCCAAACCGAACTTTAAACACTCATTCAATACTGTCCGCTTTGTATATTCATAAATAGTTTATTACCAAAAAAAAAAAAAAGAAAAATCTTCATTAAAACAGAGTACCTGTGCTAGAAAAGTTACTTTCCCACTTTTGTAATTTAACAACCAAACCTGCATTCCCAACAGGGCTACTGAGTGGCTGTGCACATAGAATACCTAAGTTAAGAGTCACCAAGGTCACTACATTAACTGCTTCAATTTTTTCTCTTTTCATTTCCTTATGTCATTTATTTACAAATGCATACAAAAATTGATATTTCACATGCTAGGGTCTCGTTCTGTCAGGTTTTATATTATATAGTATTATACAGCCAATACTTCTATATCTCAGAAATTTAAATAAAGGCTTAGAGTCTCACCTACTAAAACTGAACGTAATTATCCCTTACAAGACACCAAAGAAACCCCTTTTTTGTCCAGAGCGATGTTTGCTTCTAGATTACCTAACTGATACCAGAGTTTTTCCTCCATGCAGTTGTAACTGGGGGCCACGAGTCTCATGGTATATGAGAATCTGGGTAAGAACTACTGCAGAAAGGATATTTTGGATGAAGACAACCAGTTAACTATGAATTCACACTGCAACCTGACCAACAACTATCATAAAGAAACATTGTTTGCCTTGAAAGTTCTCAAAAATAACTGAAAATAAGTCCACAGTCTTCAATATTCTCAGTTTAAGTAGATATTATATCTGATCGATGAGTAGGTGAACAAGTTATCTACAAATCTCCTTTACTTAGGTTTAGCATTCTTACTTCATCTACTCTCTACAATATTGTTTCCTCCATCAGACACAGATAGCCTACAGACCAGTAAAATTCCTCTTACTTTAACAAAGAACCTTCCAAAATGCCTAACATTCATTAAAACTAAAAAAATCAAGCTCCACTTTTCTAAAACTACTTATTTACAACAAAACATAGTGATAAGATTTTTCATTTCTTTACAAATAATAACCCAGAAAAACATCTTCAGAATTATCTGGAGATTCTTTACCCTTGTCACGACAATGACAGAAAATTACCACACAGAAAAAATAGGTCTCTGTGCCTCACACACAAGGTAATTAATACTTTTAAAGCAGAAGGTGACCATACATGTGAAATATACATTATGCAGTTATACATACTAAATCATTAACTTTCCAACTTGGCATAACGACAGGGTAGTTGGAAGGGAATGTAAAAGAAAATACCCAACAGCTTAAAATTAACAATGGGCCCATTTATTCAAGGTAGGATGGTTCTCCCATTTCAGCCTGAGAGGACTGAAAGTCTCTTTCTGTCCCCCTCTAGGAGGGAAACTCTGCAGCTGGTCTGTCTGGAGAATCACTCAACTATATTCACAGCTTTGCTCAGGGTCAAGCAATGGCCAAGAAAAGTCTTCGTCTTCACTTTGCACTGAAAACCAACACAGAGAAATGTTGACTTTGAGATGTTCAAATTTCATCCTTCAAGGATCATTTCAATTAATATCTCCTGTAGGAAGGTGACCCCACAAATACAAAAGATCCACACCTACTGAAACTGAGAAACACTTATCTGTATCTTTGTAACTATCAATTATCCTTTTGTGAAGGTCTTATGACCATGTCTAGTACTGTACTTATTTCTTTTCTCCCCAACCACTGTAATGCCCAACACTTTGCATCTTCTTAAAAGGCTTCCAGGAACTGCTGAATGGATGAATTCTTAGCAAAATATTTCACAGCTTTTTTTTCTGTTCTGTCTTATACTCCCAAGCAGAGGTCCACACTCCAGAAAATAGTAAATTTCTTCTGCTTTTCAAATCCAACTAAAATCGTATCTGAGCTGGTAACAACTAATCTTCCCCTAACTCTTGAGAATCAAAATCATTATTATTATCTGTATTAAATTATCTGACCTCGTTCTTACCTGCTAATGAAACAATGTAGATGTGTTTATGGAGAACTGGGGGATCATCTTCAGGAAATCCAAATACTGACACTTAAGGAAAAAACTCTAACATCATAAATCAGAAAGCAACACACAGCAGAGTACTGCAACTTCAGGATGCCATACTTAAAATATATCATCCTTCCTGTAATTCCATCATGAGGAACATCAATTTGCCAAGATACGGCCTTGAATTGTACAAGAAGTCTCCTATTTCTTCTTATAAAATATACTGGCAAAGACCAATAACCCACACCGCTACAATGAAACCCATCCCCACATTCCGTGGCTTGAAGGCAATTTCATAAATACAGGGTCATAAAAAGTCCTGTAGCCAGCACTCCATTTTAAAAATAGGAAACTGAAGACAATGACATATGATTATACAGTTACAGCAATCTGAAGATCTTTTTAAAAGTCTGCAGGAATTACCAATCTTGTCTTAGAAAACCACCTACTAAAAAAGAATGCATAAATCATACGATATAGATAATGGGAAAATTTGTGTGAAATGTTAAAATTATATAATGTGCACGCTTTAATACACAAAGTCATATTCAGCATATTCATATGCTAGTAACAACAAAATCTCAAAACAGAATGTTGAAGTCCCAGCCAATGGCCTATTTGTCACAAATACATCTGCTGTCACAGAGCCCCAATGTTATAGGGGACCATAAACAGCCTTGTGGAGTTCAACATAGCCAACACCTAACCAGAGGAAAACTGTCTACTTTTGAACTCTAAACATAAACATGCAGGTTCCTAGCTAAGCACATACTTGTGATTTTTTTTTCTTTTCAAATTCTAATAAACTCTAAGTAAAAAATATATACATAACTCCTACATTACCCACAATTATGGGGGATTTGATATTTCAAGTCTCTAACAATTTTTTCTTTTAATTTTATGATATTGTAAAAAGTAACAACTGAAAGAGTACTACGTGCCAGACCTTGCTAAGAATTTCATATATACTATTAAAATAAGAGAATCATTAAATTATATGTTTCAAGGCATGCTTTCAAGTTTTAATTACTTCTTGATACTATTCATTAAACAACCCAGTGACCACAGAAATATATCCCAATAATTTGACATAATTAAAACAGAATACAACCAGAGAACTAAGTAAGATGAGGTATAACATTACTAATCTCACTACAATATAAATTAGTTATTAGGCACACATCTTTATTAGGCAGTACTACTAGCCAAGTTTAAACTGAACCACACAAGGGGTTAAAAATAACTACAATGAAGGCCAACAGCCTAGCAGCACAGTTGAGCCAAAATTCCCTTCCCTCCTCCCCTTCCCTTCCCATCCTCTCCAGTCCAGAATGAATTGCATGCCCCACTGCACAAGGCCCAAAAAGGTCACAGGAGATGGCAGAGACTTTTGTAAGAGAACAGAAATAACTCAGCAGCTTTGTTACCGTGGTCTCTTTTAATCAGTATGTTCAAAATCCTTTAATTAGCACTCTGTCTACACAAGGAAAGCATTTCTTCTGTGCCAGAGGAGGGCACATATGTATGTACACAGTGTTCTGTTGTATCAGCATCACAACATGGAGCTAGGCCTCAAATTGTCTGCCAGGGAACCGAAGCACAGAAAATTCTTTTAAAGGCATGATACTATAAAATATACACATTCCATTTGCATTTCTATTACCAAACAGCAAAGTGATGATTTAGTCTGTTTCATTAGGTGTCAATTTGTTTCTGGACTCTTTTCCCAACAAAAACACATGCATTTGAAACTAAACAGTAACTTTCGTTAGTCTGATATCTATAAAGCAGGATATTCAAATTTAATATAAATAATGTTAACAGAACATAAAAACAAGACGATATTCAAATATCATTCCTGTCCTCAAAGGATATCTTCAATAAGAGAAAAAAAACTTGCTTTGCTCAAACAGGAATAAATAACAAGACACATTTTCATATGGATGCTTTCCATTTAAAATTTCATCCAACCATAAAATCTTAAAACTTAGAGACTGGATTACATATATGTATTTCCTTGTAAACTCTGATAAACTGGAATCAAGACAGAAATTGGTGGTAAATTAAACTGTTTAAAAAAAAAGAAAGTTAACTGTTTAAAAAAATTCACAGCCAAGAAACAAGGAAAACTCCATTAGTAACCTGTATACTCTAGAGAGGTTTTTAAGTGTTGCAAACTTGTTAACTTTTCAACATCAAGTTGTACATATATATATTGTTGGAAGCAATATGTGTGTGTGTGTATATATATATATATATTTATACATATATACATCTATAATTAAAACAATAAATTCCTAAATATTAGAGAAACAATCTGATTAAAGAAACCATCTATTAGGGGCGCCTGGGTGGCTCAGTCGGTTAAGTGCCTGGCTCTAGATTTCAGTTCAGGTCATGATCTCAAGGTTCGTGAGTTCCGGCCCTGTGTCGGGCTCCACACTTAGTGTATGTTGCTTGGCATTCTTTCTCTCCCTCTGTCTCTCTGCCCCTCCTCAGCTCTCTCTCTCTCTCTCTCTCTCTCTCTCAAAGTAAATAAATAAACTTAAAAAAAAAAAGAAGGGATGCCTGGATGGCTCAGTTGGTTAAGCATCCAACTTTGGCTCAGGTCATGATCTCATGGCTCATGAGTTCCAGCTCCATGTCAGGTACTGTGCTGACAGCTCACAGCCTGGGGCCTGCTTCAGATTCTGTGTCTTCCTCACTCCCTGTCCCTCCCCCACTTGTGCTCTGTCTCTCTCTCTCTCAAAAATAAACATGAAAGAAAGAAAGAAAGAAAGAAAGAAAGAAAGAAAGAAAGAAAAAGAAAGAAAGAAAGAAAGAACAATCTATAGATAAAATTTATTACTAGGGAAGTCGCATAGCATAACTGCTTGAAAGCCAGCTCTTCCACACCATCCATGTAAGCTCATAGCACAGTTTTGTACAACGGGAATAATACCACTACCTTGCAGGTTTACATGAGAATTAAATGAGATGATGCACGTAAAGCACCTGGCAAAAATCCAGGTTTGCTAGCAAGGCTGCTGGGGGGGGGGGGGGGGGGGCAGTGGTTCGGGGGAGTAAGTATTTTCATGCATTACACAAAATTGTAAATTGGCACAACAATCAAAATTATATATGTGTGTATATACACACACATATATATGTATATATATAGTTAACCCTTGAATAACATGGGGACTGGGGCACTGATTCCCCCATGCAGTCGAAAATCCATGTAAAACTTGTGACTCCCCCAAAACTTCACTATACTAATAGCCAACTGTTCACTGAAAGCCTTACCAATAACATGAAGTCAATTAACATGTTTTATGTTATGTATACTGTATTCTTACAATACAGTAAACTAAAGAAGAAAATATTACAAAAGTCATAGGGAAGACAAAATATATTTACTAGATGGTATATATATTTATTTTTTCAAAATTCCCATGTAAGTGGACCCACACGGTTCAAATCTGTGTTGTTCAAGGGTCAACTGTGTGTATATGCATATACATAAAAAATTATGTATATATGGTATCCACTATAGCACTGTATATAACAGCAATACTGGAAATCATATAAATGCCTTTCAATAAAGGACTGGTCATATAAATGCTACTTCTCTACAAGAGAATTCTATATAGTTGTTTAAAAAAAAAAAACTAGGGAAAATTCTCCATGGTAAATTAGAAAAAAGACACGTAACAGCATGTATACTATACTATCATATAAGTAAATGGGGAGTGGATATTCATATTTATTTGACTATGAAAAAAAAGCCCTCTGGAATGTTGTAGAAGTAATTAATACCAATAATTATCCACTGGTGATAAAAGTCAAACAGTGCCTGACACACAGTCAGGCCTCAAAAAACATCATCATCATCATCATCATCATCATCATCATCAAAATATATCCTCAAATTGGATACACAGAATATATTCAAACTAAATTCATAATGAAGTAAACAACCAAATCTCAATTATGTACAAGGTGACTATCTAAATAGGAGATCCAAGCCCTTCAATTCCTCTTCAAAGGTAAGTAGCTTTTGGCACTTTTACTGTTGGCTATCATCTTCACCAGAAAGTGAGCTGAGGAAATAACACCAAAAACAGTCATTTTATTCGGTACTGATCAACAGTTTTTAATTAGCTTTTGGAACTAAAAGAGACCATGAAAATCCCATAGTGCAACCTTCTAATATTACATATGAGGAAACGAAGGTCCAGAGAATTCTCCAAATTAGTGACAGTTCAAAGATTTGAAGTCCGCCCCCTAGTTAAATGCTTTCCATTATCCTTATTAATAGATGGAGGAAACTGAAAATAAGCTTAAGTGAAACTGAAAATAAGCTTAAGTGAAATCAATTATCCTTGCTAAATTCCCTCCCCACCGCATCCTTGATTATACATAACTAAGTTTGAGAAGATCAAATCCCGTAAGCAATTGTGATGAGTACAGGTTATCCAGAGAACTCAACAACTCAGCCCTGAGGTTTCCAGGACTAAGCATCGAATGAACATCTGTAATAAAATCTGTGAAGTTTGCTTACATTAGAGATTGTCAGAGGCATGTTGAAATCCTTGCCACCTTGCAGCCGGAAACCCCAAGGAGCTGGGCCAACCAAGGACACACTGTAGTTGCTCATGGCTCTAACAGCTCAAAGTTCAATCCCAGAAAATGAAAGAAACTGTGAAAGAAAATTAGGTGGTTAACAAAAAAGATTATTTGAAGCCCTATTACATATTTAAGTGTACTTAATATAAACTCAACTAAATTATGTTCAGTATTTTGTCTTGGGGGGGATGAGAAGATGTGAAGGATAAGTCTATATTAAGTTCTAAGGAAAGGAATCTATGAGCTAACATACAATTTCCAAACTGATGCCAATTTCCATAGTCTAAAAATTCCGTATCAGGATACACCTCTAGACGTGATCAGTTCTACAAACTGCTATAGTACAATTTGTGGCTTCTTGCATACAAACTTTAACTGAAAGTATTTTACAACACATCATTATATATAGGAGAAAGAACAAGAATTTATTTCAGGTTTAATTCAAAATGATTTTCCGCTTCCCTCTACCTCATACATTCTTTTGCCTGAAGTTGGCAAAAGTCCTTAAATTCTAAGCTACTTTCACATATGAAAAGTACTGGAAATCTGTAGACTCTCATTCATGCCTTCCACACACAACATTCTTTAAAATAAGTTGTTTTTTAATGCACAAAAGTCTTCTCTCCAATCATAAACTGCAACTTGCATTGCCTCTTACAGGCACATAGTGTTTCCCACGCTTAGAGTAATATTTACTTTTCTTTTAGACAGGCAATGATAGGTAATACTCCAGCACAATGATATTTCGGTGAGAAATGTTTTTTGTTTCATACACACTGTATTAGGCAAAGTAGAGAGTGAGCATTAAGCACACAGTGAATAAGACTGACTAAATGAGGGGGAATATAGGTTAATCTTAATGCATGAAAGGGAAGTAGAGCTTCAGAAAAGAAGCAGCACTTCGTGCAGTCTTCTTTGTTTTGCTGTAAGTGTGCTTATAAGGACTCGAATGGTTGTACTTTTATATGATAAAAAAAAGTGTGACCTCGAGTTTGGTATTGGTTGTTATGATGGTCATATGTGGGTGGGAGAAACTGGGAGGAATGGACATTTTCTAAAATGTAATCTAGGAAACCTATTACTTCCCTCTTTAAAAATATTAAAAATGTAACAAATGTAGAATTTAAAATTTTAAAACCACATTTTAAAAAAAAAAAAGCTGTTTAAGACACACTTCCTTGGAAAAATCTGTGCTGTTTGATTTAATCACCACTTTATATTACCTGTCTAAATAATCTTCCATTTTTTTTAACCCATTCAACACTGTGATTAATATTAATATTGGCAGATGTAGGTATTTAAACCATTGGGTATATTAAAAGCAAACAGATTACATCTTCTTATAATGGGAAAATGAGGGAAAACTTTCAAGTTAAGCCCGGTTCTTAAAAAAAAAATCAAACCACTGAAAATCTGCACTGTATCTACCTCATAAATGAAATGACCTTTTCCACTAGCATGGTAGTACACATTCAGCACTGATGCAATAAACGCAGAGCACTAAAAAGACCCAACAGTCATGCCAGAAGTCAAACTGTTAGATACACATGAACAACAAATAGAAAGATAATAAAGCGTCACGCATAGTTGAATCGCTTTCCCGCTATTATAAAAGATTTTCATAGAACTCGTAGAGAAAGACCGTTTTGACACTGGTATATGATACAAATCAGAAGTATGAGAAGCCAACTGGTATTTCAAAGGCAGCCTGCCCCCTCCTTTTTTAATCTTTAACTTGTATCAAGAGAAGAATGGGAAAGTTAGGTACAACTTCCTCTGGCCCCATTGTTCCCTACAAGAAAATGTACGTACATACAACGTATGTATGTTATGTATCAAACTATGTGCACGCAACTTCCCTTTACTTGGCAGTTCCCTTCCTGACTTCTCCCATTTATTAAAATTTCTAGCACTGGCCCCACTATACAACTAGTGTCATTTGATTTCTGGTATTCTGTTAGCTTCATTTGCCTTAACCGTTCTGATCCCTAAGCAATGGTAGTATTATTATTGGCCTTTTCCAAGGTCTCCTGCATCTGGTTACTAGTGCCCAAACTCTTACTAAAATACTAAGCAGGCAACAAATAATGAGCAGTCTATTCTGCTTTCAAACACGATGAAAATGTTGGAACTTCTGTATAGTTTCGGATTTTCTTTTAGGGAAAGTCTAAACAATACCCTCGCCCTAGTACTTGGGAAGGAAGCTTCGTATTTCCCACACTTCTATCCCGGCTTCTCCGGTAAGTGGGAAGGAGGAAAGGAGAATTCAGAATGACAAGAAAGGTCTGAAATTAAAGAACAGTATATCCTGAGATTCTCTTTTTCCCCAAATCGAGACGTAAGGGGGGTAGAGCCTGCGAACTAAAGCCACAGGCACTGGCCGAAAGCAGACAAGACAGTTTTCCAGCAGAGGTTCACGCCTAGTCCTGTTTGCCAAATAAGGCTCCCGAGCGGGCTATTTCCGTGGTAGGCAGGTCCGACGTCCTCACGGTCAGGAAGGCGGACTCGGGATAGGATCTGGCGATCACACCCTAGACCTGCCCTGCCCGACGCAGCCACGAATATTCTCCTGGCTCTGCCCTGTCCAAACGCCCTTCCTTTTTCCACTTATTGTCAAATGCACTGAAGTCACAGTCTTACGAAAGCCCCACAAGTATTGATAAATCTGGCGATTATGATAGATTAAAAAAAAAAAAAAACAGCTTTATTTCTGGTCGCGCGGATGTTTCCCCAACAGGTTACACAACTGTAAATATCCGCGGGGGGAAATAAACACTTCTCAGTAGCGCGAAAGCAAACCAAAAATAACACGCTTTTCCCGCGTAGTGCAGCTCCCTACACCCCAAAGAGGTGCACGCAGGGCTGTATCCACACGGCGAGGTAGGTGCCCGGTGACTCCCGGCAAGCTGCCTGGCCGGCGGGTCGCTGCAGGGGTGCCCGGGAGCCCTACGTCCCCGCCTCCGCTGCGCTCGCCCCGGCCGGCCCCGGCTCCGGGAACTTGCAGGGCTCGTCCTCTGGCGTCGCGCCCACTCCCGCGCCGCCCTTTCCCCAGCGCTCCTCTTCCCACGCGGCTCTCTCAACTCCGCCGCCCCAGAAAGCACCTGAGGAGCAGAATCGGGCAGGGCGCGCCCCCTCCTCCTCAGCTGGGCTTCCCTCCACGCACAGGGCGCAGAACCAGCGCCTCTCCCAGCCCGCACCGCGGGATATCACAGCCGCACATCCCCGCCCAGCAGCCGCTCACCTCGAGTCCGGCGTGGCACTGCCTCCGCTTCAGACGAGCGCTGACAAGTGACTCCGGGTGCGTGCGCCGTCCCCACCGCCTGCGGGAACTTCCGCCTCCTCGCGCTCCCGGCCCCGCCCCCAGGCTGGGACACGCCCCCGGACGGGCCGGGCAGCCCAGCGCGGGCGGAGTGGTGTGCGAAAGAGTCAGGCGTGCGGGCTTGCAGAGGCGAGCTGAAGCCAGCGCAGGGAGACAATTGAGTTACCGAGTTTCGGTGGGAGTAGTCAGGGGATTTCGAGCAGTACCTGGCAAAGGTATGCTCCGCGTGTCTGTTTTGTAATGCGATGTATTGCTCTCTCCAGAAACTTTGAATTGGCAAGCAGTTGTTCTGGCTAAAAATAGAAGGGAGCTTTGGATAAATCCCTAGCTATGCAAGTTCAGCGGCTACTGCCTGATTTTTTGAGAGAGCTTTATGTGCCCTAAGAAGTGCAGCCCCTGAAGTTTGCATGTCAGGAAGGTAAAAATTGGTAATCCTGATATGTAGAAGTTAAATTCCGTGATCGTACCAGAAGAGACATTGATAGAAAGAAACGGCCAAAAGCGTTTCAACCACTCTATCCTCATTATTTCCTGTGTCCAAATCAATAGCCCACTTGGCAGTTTCAGTAAAGTTGCTGGATTTAGACCACCACGGAATTTATTAATAAGCAAACGTAAATAATGTTCAGTGAACATATGGAAAGTAACATGTTGACTGTTTAAAACTGTGAATGGGTTATAAGAAATGAAAAGGACAATTTTTAACCAAGGGAGATGTAAAGCAAGAATGAACTTCATAAGGTCCATGAATCCCCTAGAAGTACAGCCTTCTAGAGGAGAAAGGCGAATGCTCTTCTGATCAAAACCGTGGGCTCTGATCAAACCCACTTAACCATGTGGGCTATTGAACATTCGAAAAATGGCTGCTGGGACTAGGGCACTGAATTTTTTGTGTTACATAACTTTAATTGACATTTAAAAACTGAAGCAGGGTAGCATTTCTGTGAAACACAACTTTATTGTTTGGGTGGGAATACATTTCACTTCACCATTGAAAATGTAGTACCCAGTGGGGCGTCTGGTTGGCTCAGTGGGTTAAGCATCCAGCTCTTGATTTTGGCTCAGGTCATGATCTCATGTTTGGTGGGATAGAACCCCCATCTGGCTCTGGCCTCTGCTTAGGATTCTCTATCTCCCTCCCACTCTCTCTCTCTCTCTCTCTCTCAAAATAAATAAACTTAAAAAAAAAAGAAAATTTAGCACCCAAATTGAGATATGATAGAAGTAAAAAAAAAAAAAAAAAGCATACTGGATTTCAGTCTTAGTATGAAAATTTTAATGCAAAATACCTCATTAATAATTTTATGTTGATAACATGTTGGAATAATAAGGTTTTTATACTTGATTGAATAAAATATATTATTAAAATTTTACCTGTTTTTTTTTTTTTGAGTGGAGACTAAGATATTTTACGGGCGCCTGGATGGCTCAGTCGGTTAAGCGGCCGACTTCGGCTCAGGTCATGATCTCGCGGTCCGTGAGTTCAAGCCCCGCGTCAGGCTCTGGGCTGACAGCTCAGAGCCCGGAGCCTGTTTCAGACTCTGTGTCTCCCTCTCTCTGACCCTCCCCCGTTCATGCTCTGTCTCTCCCTGTCTCAAAAATAAATAAACGTTAAAAAAAATTTTTTTAAATTACCTGTGTGATTAGCACTATATTTCACTGGGTGGTGCTGCTCCAAAGCATTCATCACATTCTCCAAAAGGTTATGTTGGGAGGAAAAGTTTCCTAGTGTGAAAGCTGATTTATGGAGTACTTTAATATATGTTATCATGTTTGATACCTCACCTCAAAAATAAATAAATAATAATAGTGCCTTTTACAAATACATACCATGTGCCAGACAGTATGGCAATCCTGACCATAACTTTACAAAACGAATGCCATCCCCACTTCCAGTTAAGAAAATTGAGATTGCAAGACATTAGTTTGTGACAGTGCCACAGGGCAATGGCTAGAGTTACCCTGTAAGGGATGCATCTCTACTCCTCTTAATGTTTGCTGCTGATAGATACAGTTCAATTGAACTTAGATCAACAAGGTTGATAAAGATATCAAGAACTGTAAGTAGTATGTAGAGATTTCACCAGGGGGTAAGCACCTTGAAGTGATGAGAAAAAGTTAGGAATAAGAGGAGTGTTGCTTACTTAGGCAAATTTAAATTTCAGCCTACAGGTGCTAGCCTGCTTCCTCCTCTCACAGTTTAAAGCCTGCTGTAAGAAAGTAAAAAAAAAAACAAAAACAAAAAAACAAGGTATGATGCAGAAACATTTATCCAAGTGTCCTCCAAAGAACCAGCTGCGTCAAAATAACAGAAACAACTTTTAAAAATTGCGTTTTCCTGGGCCCCACCCAGACCCAGGATGCTTGCAGGTAGACCCCAGTAACCTGCCTTTTGAAAAAACACTCCCTCCCCCAATCCAGGTAATTATTAAGCTACAGTGCTTAAAAACCTCCTCCCTAGAAATATTCCTATACCCCCAATTTACTGTATAATGTGCTTAGGTGAGAACCATTCATCCCAGACAGCAGTGACATCTCGGTTCCCTCATCCTTAAGGAACTAACTATAAATAACCTTTTGAGGTTTTTGTGAGTAGAGATAATATATATAAAGCACCTGGCAGCATGCTTGACGCCAAGTAGATGTTAAATAAACGGTAGCCCTATGAAACTTTCCAAACAATTGATTAGATTTATTTACATACCCCAAAAGACAAGTAGAGAACTTGAGCATTCAGTATGTACAGTGTTCTTGGTGACTTATGTACATTATCTTTTTAAACTCTTACAACCAAGCAAAGTAGGTATTTTTTCAGAAGAAGAAACAGAAACATGGAGATTAAGAAACTTAACCAAGGACACATAACTAATGAGTGACAGAAGTAGATCACAGGATCTGACTCTAAAAACCATGTCCTTTTCATCTCAACCCACTACTTCTTGGTAAATTCAATAAGCCATCTAGCTTAAAGACCAGAGAAAGAAGATGGAAAAGGATAGCAGCTAACACTGTTGAGGGCCATAGAGATGCAACTTGCAACAAATTATGGAAATCAAATACTTGCATGTTACTTTGAGTGTATATGTTACTTGTGTATGAAAAAGGACGAAACTCCTAAGCCATTTCTGGTAGAGCCTGTGCCTTAACTCGTTTTTGAACGAATTGCCACCAAACCATTCTTACTCCCCTTCTCTGTCTTGTTAATGACTAACATTTATGAAATGGTTGGCCATGATTTGAAGGACAGTCTGTGACTACAGACTAGCAGCAGGATGACAACTGATCCATTGGGAAAGCAGACCAGTGTCCTTAGCCTTGTAAACTCTACAGGCTAAGCAATGAGGAACTCACCACAAAGGAAACCATATTAAAAGCTTCACTTTGTCATCGCCGGTGCTAAAGGGGGAAAAAAAACTGGATCAAAAGATTAACTAATTTAGCAGGAAGAGTTTTTAAGAATTTTCCATCTAAACACAGTATTTACCCAAGTGAATAAATGTTTGCTCTCACATTTTATTATCCAATGTATGACTCAGAATCCCCTTGCGGTGTTTCAAAAATAACAGAAACTTTTAATTACAAGATGGCATTGCTGTGACAAGTTTTTACAGTTGCACCCAATAAACTATAAAGTGCCAGTCTTTAAAAAGTTCCTACATTACTCTAAGTCAATTTATCTTCTAAGTCCTAATCCTGAAAGGCAAACAGACTACTCACAGGTATGAGTGTTTAGTGTTTAAAATCTAAAATGCAGAGGATGCTGGGAAGAGAGGCATGCACTAAAGAAGCACAGAGAGAGAGGAAAGAAGTAAATGGATGAGAAAGGCTCTCGGGGCAGATCCATGAAGCCTACATAATTGAGGAAAAAGTTAAGAAGTTTAAACTTTTTAAAACTAGCTTCAAGGAGCACCTCAGTGGCTTAGTCAGTTGGGTGTCTGACTTTGGCTCTGGTCATGGTCTCACGGTTTGTGGGTTCAAGCCCCGCATGGGGTTCTCTGCTATCAGCACGGAGCCTGCTTTGGGTCTTCTGCCTCCCCTTCTCTCTCTGCCCCTCCCCCACTCATGCTTTCTCTCAAAAATAAATAAATATTAAAAAAAAAAAAACTAGCTTCAAGATTTCAAGTCTGGGTTTTGGGAGTGGTATTAATAACTAGTATTGAAGAAAGAGGAGCAGTTTTTGGAGGGACAGTGCATTTCGCTGGCAGCTTCCAGTAAGCAAAAAACAAAACAAAACAACCTCCCCCCCCCCCCCCCCATTTAGCAAGTGAGAGGTATTAGTAAAAAGGTAGATAGTAAAGGCATTGAAAAAAGTACCAGGAGCTCCAAGTTTGAGATTTCAAAAGGGGAGGAATTTTCCTCATGATAAGATCAAGGGTTAGCCAACTGATGTTTTACTCAGATAAAGTCATTTCCTTGAGGCATCTGGTTGGTGGTGGTCGAAAGAATAGAGAATATGTGATTCTGGAAAGGAGATAGAAACAAAACATGTAGGTCAGTAACGAGAAAAGCTTTGTGTATGAAGAAAAATGTTACTTGAAGAAAGTCCAGAAAGTGAGAAATGGGCCTGGGGCACAAATTCCCAATTACTTGGTTGTGCCAAGGAATTAATCTTCTCAGCCCGGGAGGCTATCCTGGCTGGGAAGAAGGCTTACCCATTTTCCTCAAGTTCTAAGTTTGCCTTGCTGTAAAGAGTTGAGAAGCCGTGGGTTAGGAAACCAAGAACAGACAAATGACAAAAGCCGCAGGCTTTCAACCAGGACGATCAGGATGTCTTGCACATTTGAACTAAATAAAATAAGGAAAATGTGCAGAGAGCAGATCTAGATGTATACCATGAGAGCTCATTAGAAAGATCTGCCCACACCTCTGTGCAGTGTTCCTTTATTAAAACATTGTCAATGTTGGTCTCTCTGATGTATACCCGATACTCATAGGCTATTGTATGTCAATTATACCTCAATAAAAAATTATTTTCAATTACACTCCTTTGGCTGTAACATCTGTTTCCTCTCAGAGCCCTGACTGATACATTATTGGTGATTCTTTTGATCATCAATACCTTCGCATAAAACATTAAGATGTTATACACACTTACTGATCGTCCATCATGCCCTAAAATCTGTTGACATGTGATTTTAAAAGCAAATTCACTTTTTGTAAAAATATTACTATTTTTGCTTTTGAGATCTTTTAAAGTTAATGACTTCTTAAATTAGTCATTTTAGGGGATTCCTGGGTGGCTCAGTCAGTTAAGCGTCTGACTTCGGCTCAGGTAATGATCTCATGGTTCATGAGTGCTCTGTGCTGACAGCCTGGAGCCTGCTTTGGATTCTGTGTCTCCCTCTCTCTCTTCCCCTCCCCCACTCACACTCTGCCTCTGTCTCTCTCTCTCAAAAATAAATAAACATTTAAAAACATATAAATAAACTAGTCATTTTAGGATGAAGCATTTCCATTATAATACAGCGTGATGTGACTAACCAACACTTAGAATCTGGAAATAAGTGCTTTCTTTCCACATTGTCAACTTTTAACCAATTTTTAAAGGAGCTAGTAGCAAAGGTGATTATTCTGAATCACGAGATACTTCTTTTTTTTTTTTTTAAACGTTTGTTTATTTATTTATTTATTTTGAGAGAGACAGAGACAGCATGACTGGGAGAAGGGCAGAGAAAGTGAGTGAGAGAGAGAAAATCCCAAGCACCCCACAAATAAAATACTTCTAGGGGTGCCTGGGTGGCTCAGTCAGTCAAGCCTCTGACTCTTGATTTGGGCTCAGGTCATGATCTCATGGTTGGTGAGTTGGAGCCCGTAGGCTCTGTGCTGACAGTAGGGAACCTGCTTGAGATTTTCTCTTTCTCCTTTTCTCTCTGGCCCTCCTCTGCGTGTACTCTCTCTCTCTCTTCCTCTCTCTCTCTCTTCCTCTCTCTCTCTCTCAAAATAAATAAATAAACTTTAAACAAAATTTTTTTAATAGTACTTCTTTAAAAAAAAATAATGTTTATTTATTTTTGAGAGAGAGAGAGAGAGAGAGAGAGAGAGAGAGAAGTGAGTAGGGAAGGGGCAGAGAGAGAGGGAGACAGAATCTGAAGTAGGTTCTGGGCTCTGAGTTGTTGAACTCAGTCTGCAAGATCATGACCTGAGCTGAAGTCGGATACTTAACTGACTAAGCCACCCAGGCGCCCCCAAAAAAGTACTTCTTAAATCTCGATCTTGTCTGTGTATATAGGGTAAACAATTAACCAGAGTTATCTTTGGGAGGTGGGATTGTGAAACTGTTAATTTTTTACTTTATAATTTTCAATATTTCAAACTGTAAAAAAAATATTTATTATACCTGTAATGAGAATGAAACAACACAGACTTTGTTTTTTTTTTTTTAATTTTTTTTTCAACGTTTATTTATTTTTGGGACAGAGAGAGACAGAGCATGAACGGGGGAGGGGCAGAGAGAGAGGGAGACACAGAATCGGAAACAGGCTCCAGGCTCCGAGCCATCAGCCCAGAGCCCGACGCGGGGCTCGAACTCACGGACCGCGAGATCGTGACCTGGCTGAAGTCGGACGCTTAACCGACTGCGCCACCCAGGCGCCCCCAGACTTTGTTTTTAAACACTACATGAATTGACTAACTTCATCATGATAATATAAAGTTTTAATAGCCCAAAATTAATTTTAAATTAATTGGTTTTTAAATCTCAATTTCTTTCAGTTATGATTTTGCCCAAAACTACCGCTGTCATCTCTTCTGATCCTTTAAGTAGTATTTCACATTGTCTGCATTTAGAATGTCTCATGCTTTTCCGTGTATCTCTCCAGCAATGGTGGAGCTATGAAGACATAATTATTAACAACGCTGGTGTACAAATAAGGGCATTTAAAGAAGTGGTATTTTGGATTGGAAAGACCCTTGGGGAAATCTAATCTTAACATGCTTTATTTACAGTAAAATCTCTCCACCCAAAAGACAGTACCTCTACAAAGTGTTTTTAAAATCCGTTTACATACTCTGGGAAAAGCAAGGAAACTTGTATTTTCATTGGAGGGTATCCACATGTGTAGTTGCAGTGGAATGCAGTAAAGCATGCCATTCCTAGCCACAACGTAAAAGGATGTGGTACTAACAATGATGAATCAACTCATCAAAAATCTAATTAAAGCATGGAATTGTTTTAAGATAAGGAATAATATGAAGGAATGAATATGGATCAATAACATACACCAGAACTACACTGAATTCCAACAATATCCGGTTTACACATCTTATCAAATTTTGCCAATCTGTGTAATATGCACATACCTATTGGTTTACTTTCAGAATAAAATTAATTTTGGGAAATGCCTCAAGGCTACTTTCTGCCAGCTGTGTAAAGGTTAACTGATGAAGAAAGTAAGTGAGACATTTTCTTAAATCTATGAGATATGAAACTGGAATCTTTCAATATTTTCATAATCTGATTATTTCACATGACAAACTATTTTTAAACCATACTTTAGCCAAAAGTTTGATGCCTGCTTCTTCTCAGAATTTAAAAGCTTTAACAAAGTAACTGCAGTATGCTATCTATAAGTAATAAATCCACCCATTTCTACTTAAATATTATTACTTTAGACACTAAAGCTTACATTTAAAAATGCACGGAAAAAGTCTAGATTTAAACATTATCAATGGTTGCCTCTGGATGGTGAAGCGTGGTATAATTCTATTATGCTTCTATTTGCTTTTTGTATTTTCCAAATTTTCTGTGAGAACATTTTAGTTTTATAATGAAGTGAAATTTAGGAGTATCATTTTTAGCACATGCTCATGCAAGTAACACTGTCATTCACACATATATTGTTATATCAACTGCCATAGGCACATAACAAAGATCTTTGGAACAAGTTGAAATTTTGAACAATAACCATCACTAGCTAGATATTCTTCTGAATCCTTTATATGTGTTGACTTATTTCATCCTCACAGTAACCATAGGAGCTAGGTACTATTATTTTCAGATAAGGAAATGAAAGAACAGAGTTCATATAACTTATATTTGTACAGCTGGTTAGTATAGGCAGACCCAGGTTTTGAACCCTACCAATCTGACTGTAGTGTCCATGTACATAACTGAAATGTGGCTGCTTTTGCAGAATATATTATGGAACTTTATATCTCTGAAATTTTCTTTTCATGCAAGTCTGATTCAGCCCAATGTGGTTCTAATCAAGATGCAAACTTCCTTGACAATTTTTATGTTTTTGCATAACTGACAGGGAATATTAGGAGAATAAGTACAATAGAGTAAAAAAGATTGATCATAATAAAAGTCATTTCAGGATTAAGAGATAAATCTCCAAACCTGATAGTAAAGAATGTTTTCTTCAAATATCTTAAGCTAAAACCATTATTCCTATTAAGATATATAGCCTTGCATACAGAACAAAACTTGTTGATAATAGTAACGTATTTTTCAGTATGTGAAAAAACCATATTATGATCTCCATGGAATAGTTGGTTTTTCTACGAATTTCTTCTAAGAAGGAAAATTCGAGAACATATATATGGTTATTCCATCAATACAAAGTCAAACATTTAAATTAAATCTGAAAATTACAGTATTCAAAGTTGTCCTAGATTTTATCTTATTTTTTTATTTAACCCGGGTACTTGATATAGATACACCTTAATCAATCTTAATAGAGTGGTCTTAATCAGAGCTATATTAAATGTCAAAAGATAATTTTGATAAATCTTTAAACAAATACAGTCAACACAACAGTTAAAGTGATGTAACAAACAGCACTGTGAAAAACATGGGCAAGATGAATACACACATTTTCCAACTTACACACAAGATGAGACACATTTTCCAAATTAACATCAGTTGAACCTTTCCTTTAATGAAATTTATTAGGCCAATAAGTCTTTCTATCTAGGATTCAATCCTTAGGAGAAAAAAATATGAAGACATTTCTAGTTTTCTTTATATCTATCTGGACAAAATTATTTTATTTTATTTTATATTTAATAAAATTTTATATTACATGTAAATTAATATTATTTTAAAATCTATAATATTATGAATTTTACATTATTAAATATATACTTATGTTTATATAACAGTTAAATCAATGTGTTGTCATTTCAGAACTTTGCCTCTGTAACACTAACGAGGTTCTGACCCCGGGGCGCTTGGGTGGCTCAGTCAGATAAATCTCCAACTTCAGCTCAGGTTATGATCTCACAGTTCATGAGTTTGAGCCCTGCGTCAGGCTCTGTGCTGACAGCTCAGAGCCTGAAGCCTGCTCAGATTCTGGGTCTGCCTCTCTCTCTGCCCCTCCCTAGCCACACTCTTCTTCTCTCTCAAAAATAAATAAGCATTAAACAAATTTTTTAATGAAAAAAAAAGTGTTTCTGACCCAAAGACAAGAGCATATAAAAATTTTGAGCAACAGAGCCTATTGTGCACAGGGGACAGAGGTCTAGGAGCAGGAGAACTGTTAGGTTTTTTTTATCAAGAGGGCAAAAATACCCTACGAAAATCAAAATCCTATCTCTTTCCGCAGGGACAAACAAGTATCAACCCCTCCTAGAAAAGAAATGCGTTGGTTCTTACAACTTGAGCCAAAGTATCAACTGTTACACATGGATCCAAATATAGTGCCTCCTGGCAAAGAAACAGTGCTCAGCAAGAGGCAGAGCTGGTGGACACCTGATAGCATTGCCTGGGTAACTTGAGCTGAAGGTTTGCTTGTTGTGGAGACAACACTGAAAATCCAGGCAGAGAACAAATCACATTGCCTTAATTTTAGAACATTCTTTGAAGATGGATTTGAAATCTCCTGATACTTTTTTCACTTTACGTTTTATGAAGAAATTTCAAACACATACTTTTTATGACAGAAAGAATAATGTGATGAACTTTCAAGGGATCCATTGTCAAGCCTCAACAATCACCATCATCGATATATGATCTTAAAGTTTTATGCATAGTTTTTTTTTTAATTTGTTTTAACGCTTATTTATTTTTGAGACAGAGAGAGACAGAGCATGAATGGGGGAGGATCAGAGAGAGGGAGACACAGAATCTGAAGCAGGCTCCAGGTTCTGAGCTGTCAGCACAGAGCCCGACGCGGGGCTCGAACTCACGGACCGCGACATCATGACCTGAGCCGAAGTTGGCTGCTTAACCGACTGAGCCACCCAGGCGCCCCATGCATAGTTTTAAACAAAGATAAAATTTATACATGACAAGATTTCACAAACGGTTGCTCAGTTTAAATGAAGGACTGTGGTTTTTAGTTGCACTTGAAGAGTTGGTTAAAAAGAGAACGCTACGCAGGTCTTTTCCAGTTTGAAATTCTCAAGGCAAATCTTTATGAAGTCTCTATCAGTTAAAACCAGGCATATTCAGAAATTCGTTTTTATTGGTACAACTACAGAATAGACAGACTCTGAGGGACTCATTCATGCTAAAAATAATGTTCACTAGGAGTTAATGAGAAACTTAGAAGTTTATTGCAAATTTTAAAAAGGATACTTATGAAACAATCTAGAATATTCAGGTCACTTTACTCTCAGGGAAGTCCAAATGAAAAATAAAATTTAGGGGCTCCTGAGTGGCACAATCAATTGAGTGACCAACTCTTGATCTCAGTTTAGGTCTTGAACTCAGAGGTCTGAGTTCAAGCCCTGCATTGGGCTCCACAGCCAGCATGGAGCCTAGTTATAAATGAATGAATGAATAAATGAGTGAATGAAGGAATGAATGAATGAATGAATACATAAACAACTAATAAATAAAATTTAGGTTAGAAGTTTGCTTATCCAGAGTAGAATCTGAGTAAAAAGAGGTGGAAGAAATGAAGGAGAACCTCATCCAGTCCAGATAACCGGATCATCGTTGCGTAGCCACTTCAGTAATTAATGTAAGATGCTCATAACGCACCGTTTCCAGGCCACGGTTGGAGGACACTAGCAAGAGCTTAGTTTCAAACTTTTCCTTGTTAAAGTTCCAAATTTCTTTTTTTTTCCCCATTATTAAAACCCTTCACTATGAAGATATCCAGTTTCTAAGATTGCGGTTTACCTCCCTAAGTAACGTTTAAAATAATGTCTTCTGTTTTGAGGGAAACTCCCAGGCCCTTCCCTGATGTTTAGGAAGTAATCTGCTGGAAACCATGGGCTCCTGGGTGTGGTATCTACCATCCCTCAGGTCCTTTAGATTGGAATCCTGGCAAAACACAGAATACAAATTTTTCCTGTTTTTCCAGATTTCAGAGAAAGGACTCTTGTTTTTTTCTGGGATTGTTAAAAGAAAGACTAGCCTGTTAACCAAACTCTACAGGATACCTTCCCAAAGAATCAAAGTTCTTACTTAGATTTCCAACTTGAACACCAGAAAAGAAATTTTTCTTCCTTTTTTCCCAGCTTGTTGATTCTATTATTTTTTATAAACTTGACAAAATGAATTCATTCTCCTTTGTGTGTGCACAGGCTACCAATGGATTGCTGTATTATCTTTTCTTTTTTAAGGAATTAAGAAGTGAAACAATTTCAAGAGTTCTCAGATTATATGATTAGAATTTCTTTTCATTAGCTCTCTCCTGTATGAAGTAACAAAAGAGTAATAAGCATTAGTCAACAGGGACAGAAGTTACATGATTTCATTGTTCTAAGTGACTTCCTTTCTTTTTTTTTTTTTTTTTCCAAGTTGGTTTATTTATTTTGAGAGAGAGTACAAGAGGAGAAGGGGCAGAGAGAGGGAGAGAGAGACACAGGGCGCCAGCCCACAAACCATAAGATCATGACCTGAGCCGAAATCAAGAGTCGGCCCCTTAACTGAGTCACCAAGCACCCCTAAGTGACTTCCTCTCTAACCCAACCAAGTCCATGATAACTTCACTTGATCAACCAGCCTGCTAGTGACATGAATTCTTAATAATCAATCCCAACCAAAAGAATAAAATTGGAGAGCATTTCACTGTACCTTCATGAAGTGAAATCACATTCTGATTCTGGTGTTTGCTAAGAGCAGTTTCCTCCTCTGCTGGTCTGTTCCAAGATGATTGGCTAGTAGACTGTGTAAAGACAAAATAGTGGTGATGCTGGGGAATTTCCTTGCCATAGCATTTAGGTATCAGTCATCTCAGAAATGATGACTTTTGGTTATCTTCTATACAAATATAAGATAAAGCAGAGTATAAATAATTTCACCAAAAACAATTTGCTTTTTAGTTTTCAAGTTAAAAAATTCCTTGGTTAGTTACACAAAATCTAAGGCAAACTTTTGTTCCCCCCCCCCCCGGATTTATTTACCTGTGTTTATTTTCTTGTCTATATATGTATAACTACTAGGGATTGACAAGTAATATCTTGAAGAGCCCACCTGCAAAAAGACAATAAAATTATCTGACAATATCAGAGCATGATATATTTAGTTCAGTGGCATACACACTGCGTGTAAATACAATGCTTCCCATTCTTCACATTTTTTTCCTTAAAAAACTTGTAAGTATCACCGTGGGAGTGGTACGTACAATACTAATCGATACAAATGGAAATCTTGCAGTTAGTACTGGGTGACATGAGCAGTGACCTTTGCATATTATTTGTTGACAAATTTTCTTTGTATTGTATGTAGTTATAACAACTGATTATAATTTTTAAGGCTTTTATTAAAATACATTGTTTGAAGATGTTTAACGAATCTGTACACCCAATGTGGGCTTGATCTTACAACCCTGAGATCAGGAGTCACATGTTCCATCAACTGAGACAGCCCGGTGCCCCCTTAAGATATATTTTTGCTTTAGTTATTAAGGTTTTTTTTTATGTTTTTATTTATTTTTGAGGGGGAGGGGGCAGAGGATTTGTAGCTGGCTCCATGCTGATATTAAAGGTTTTAATTAATGATTGTGTCCTTGAGGGATGGAGCAAAAGGAAGGGAAACTGAAAGGAGCAGAGAAAAAGAGTAGCAGGAGAAAAGGCAGGGAAAGCAGAGGAGAAGAGACAAAGAAGCCGAAATAAAAAAAAAAAGGAGAATGGACTGGGAGAAGGCAGAAAGTTGCTTAGGAAGAAGAGCAAGATGCAGAAGGAGAAATTCTGAGAGAATTTGGTGCTCACAGTAGTGTCATTATTTCTAGCAACAGAACCCCAAGCACCACCCAGAAGATAAGTACTTTATCACGTAAGTGGGGTGATAAATATTTGATTCCCATACTGCCCTCTTTATTCTTAGTTAACTTTTGCTCCTATCAGTTATCTGTTCCATTACTGTTACCGAAAGCTGCTGATCTTTTCTTTTCTCTCTTTCTCTTTCAGTCTCAAGGTAATGAGACACCTGGTTGTTTACTGTCATAAAGCCAGAACAGAGACGCAAACAGATATTTAGGTGAAAAAAGAAAAGTTTCAGGAACCCTCTGACCCCAATCCATACCATCAGGCCATCTCCTGAGCTAACAGAGCCCCTCTGCTAAGCTTCTGTAATGCAGGGCTTTTGTAAGCAACACCCCCTTTCAGAAAAAGGAAGCTGCATAAGTTTGAAGGCCTTGCCTATGGCTCCCCTGTGAGTGAATAGAAATAGAACTCAGACCTTCTGACGTCAGATTCAATGTTCTTTCCACTTAACGATGCCTAAAAATACAAACAAATAAAAAACCGTCCCAAAGCAAATAAAACCTTATCCATTTCTGCTTACCTTATATCTTGGAAGCCTGGAGTTTATGAAGATTGATTTTGTAATTCTGCCTTTTTATACATACAGCACCTGAATTTGTAACAAATGGATCCATTTAAGTGTATTTTGTTAAATAAAATTTTCTTTATTTTTGTATTGAGATTAATAATCTAATAATACCCTATAGTAATAGTTTCCAATTATAAAGACCCTTAGAAAGTATTCTATTATTTTAAAATAAATACGTCTATGGCTGAAATGAGATCTTTTTTGTGGTTTTATTGATACATTTGAATTACTTTACTATGTTCTATCAATGCCACCTCTACGAATCTGTCTTGTTGACTCTAGATCTCAGGTTAAATATCTTTTCCCTGGGGCTGCCTTCTCTGACTGTTCAGACTAAGTTATCCTTCCCCACCCTGTATTTATACTTTTATAGCACCTGCACTTTTCCTTCATAGCTCTTGTTATGATACTAATTATAGAGCAAGTGAGTGATTATTGTTTAACATCACTGTTGCCTTCCAGACCATAAGCACCAGGGCAGAATTTGTTTGTCTTTTTCACTAATATATCCCCAGCACCTATACAGTGATTAGCACATTGTAAGTGTTCATTAAATATTTAAAAAGAGAGTGAATGTGTTTCTTAGTGGATAACACATAGTGGATAAGTTTTTGCATATCTGGCTTAAAGGGATCTTTTGTTATCACAGTCTGCAATAAGACATAAGGCTTTCCTGCCATTCGTCCCTCTTTGTTTCTGGAATCTGTTTTAAGGCATTTAAGAAGAATTGCTAATAATAATAGCCCCCTTTATTGTGTACATGCTGTGTGCAATGCACTAGGTTAGGTGTTTCAGAGGCATATTCTCATAATAATCCTATGAAGTAACTACAGTTTTTTTGTTTGTTTGTTTGTTTTTTGAAAGAGAGAGGGTGTGCCCTGACGGAGGGACAAAGGGATAGGAGAAGAGAGAGGGAAAGAGGGAGAGAATCTTACGTAGGCCCCACGTCCCAGTGGGGAGCCTGATACTAGGCTCCATCTCATGACCTTGAGATCATGACCTGAGCTGAACTCAAGAGTGGGACACTTAACCAACTGAGCCACCCAGGTGCCCTGGTAGCTACAGTGTTTAATCACACTTACAGAAGAAGACACTGGTGTTTAGAAAGATTAAGTAAATTGTTCAAGGTTACCCAGCTAGTGGTTCAAGTTTGGCTGAGCTAGGAATTTAGGAAATAGAAAATGCAAGGGAAATATCATACCTTTTGTTTTCAAAGAGTAATCTCCCAATCTGTTTCTACATTAATTAACGTTATGCCAACACTGAGAAGAGGAGGGAAAGGGAAACCCCCACCTTTCCTAATAATCTTTCAGTGTCGATTCTGCAACTTTGATTTCCTGTTAACAGATCCTGATTGTAGCATTTTGGCTTTTATGTGTGTGGGTTAAATGAAAAGATTTCAAATTTTTCTTTCCTATGTCCATGTATCTGAATTTCTACAGGTTCAAAGAGATAAATAAATTATATTTTTGCTGTTGTTTGTTTTTTCTGAGAGCAAAGAAAAACAGGGAAGGAAGTAATAACAGGGAATGAAGTCAAAGAGTCAACAAGGCGTTAGGCACCAAGGAAAGTGTTGTGTACTTTTAAACAGTAATATACGAAAATGTACCAAGATCTATCATTTCCGCTTTTATTTGGAACATCAACATTCCCCCCAGGAAGATGATTCCTGTATCATCATTTTTATAAACAGTTTTGAAAATATTTTTCTGTTCAATTTGAAATCAGTTTGATTAAGAGCCTAGGGATCTTCCATAAGGATTTTATAGGCTGAGAGGCTAAACTTTGTTTTTATGAAGTTACTCTTATGAATAATCCATTTGCAGAGAGGGGTGTCTCATATCCTTGATCTTTTATTATCACAGTCTGTGATAAGATCTGTGCTTCCATATCCATTCAGCATTTTTGCTCCTGGAATCTGTTTTAAGGGGTTAATACTATTAAACAAGGTATCATATCATTGACTCAATTTAGTTATTTGCTACATCTGTACCTTGTATAGAAATCTCACATTTTTCAGACTCTCAACCAGAAAGCAAGTTTCGTTGATGAGATTCTTTTAGAGATTATTTAAAAAATTTTTTCATGTTTACTTATTTTGAGGTGGGGGGAGGGGCAAAAGACAGGGAGATACTGAGAGAATCCCAAGCCGGCTCTGCACTGTTAGCACAGAGCCAGATGTGGGGCTTGATCTTGAGACTGCAACCTGAGCCAAGATCAAGAGTCAGCTGCTTAATCGGCGGAGCCACCCCAGCACCTCAGATTCTTCTTTTTTTTAAAGTGTTTATTTTTGAGAGAGAGAGAGAGAGAGACAGAGACAGAGTGCAAATGGGGAGGGGTGGAGAGAGAGGGAGACACAGAATCTGAAACAGGCTCCAGGTTCTGAGCTGTCAGCCCAGAGCCCCACGTGGGGCTCGAACTCGCGGACCATGAGAGCACGTACTGAGCAAAGTCGGAGGTTTAACCGACTGAGCCACTGAGGTGCCCCATCACATTCTTATAGAAATTATTTAGATAACTGAGTAATTAAACCTGTTGAGTTGGGCTCCAAATAAATCTTCTTCCCGTGAGAATGTAATCTCTACAAGGACAAGATCTTTTTTTTTGTTGTTCTTGCTTGGAAGGATATTGCCACATAGTAGGTGCTCAAATTTAAAAATCTCTATATTGGGGCGCCTGGGTGGCTCGGTCGGTTAAGCGTCTGACTTCCGCTCAGGTCATGATCTCACGATCTGTGAGTTCGAGCCCTGCATCGGGCTCTGTGCTGACAGCTCAGAGCCTGGAGCCTGTTTCGGATTCTGTGTCTCCCTCTCTCTCTGCCCCTCCCCTGTTCATGCTCTGTCTCTCTCTGTCTCAAAAATAAATAAACGTTAAAAAAATTAAAAAAAAATGAAAATCTCTATATTGAATCACAATTTAAAGTGATGAATTGTTTTCAAAGCTCAATGGTGATTGGTTTATAAAATTAATATATAGCATAATTACATTTACTCACATAGAGAAGTCATTTTCATATTTCCCATATGTCCTTAAATAAACAGCAAAAAACAAAAAACAAAACAAAACAAAACAAAAAACAATTATGGATCACCTAACCCAAACTTTTCTTTTTCTTTCAGGCTAATTCTTTCTTTTGAGGCCTACCTTAGAATTTCAAGTGTACTTGAGTACTTGATCCCTATGAACTGTGAGATGAGAACAATAGAATATTGTTGAAAGAGAGGTAATATGCTATATGGTGGAAAGTAGCTATTTGGCCAAATTTGAGGGGATTTTAGTATGGAACTATTTCCATTCTTCAAAATAACATTACTAAGAATGTTTTCATTGTAATTCTACCATTCCACTACTCAGTGAATAATTAAAAAAAAATTTTTTTTTAATGTTTATTTATTTTTGAGAGAGAGGGAGTGCGAGTGGGCAAGGGGCAGAGAGAGAGGGAAACACTGAATCCGAAGCAGACTCCAGGCTCTGAGCTGTCAGCACAGAGCCTAACATGGGGCTCAAACTCATGAACCACAAGATCATGACCTGAGCCGAAGTTGGACACTTATAACTGACTAAGCCACCCAGGTGCCCCAGTATTTTTTTTTTTTTAATTTCCTTTGAACGTTACAAACAAGTTCTTTTTTAAAGTAAGCTCTACACCCAATGTGGAGCTCATACTCATGACCCTGAGATCAAGAGTCACATGCTCTACTGTTGGAGCCAGTCAGGCTCTCAGGCCCTCCACAAAAAAGTTCTTAATAAAAGCTATACATGTAGTAACAGAGATGCTCAAGAATAAAAGCTTTTCTGCATGTCCTGTTTATTTCATGACTCTTTCTAGCAACTATGAGGCAATATGATATAGAATCCAAACTTGAATACAAGCCTCATTTCAGAAATTAGACAACATGGTAAATAAGATGAAGGAAAATGGGATTGATTGAGTGCCTACTGTGTGTCCAAAAGGGGCACACAGGGGCGGGTCCCTAGTTTTCCTACACAGTTTCATCAACACCTCAGAACACATCCCAATGTGAAGAGCTGTCTACATAGGCCATACTATGAGAAAGATGGGTTTGAGAAGACATCTGAGCTGACCTCACACCAAATGAGAGGAGTGAATAAGTAGAATAAAATTTAGCTTTAGGAAGACAGTATTACATGATTTTTATGTGACTCAGTTGACAATTCCACAAATACAACTATATCCAGAAAATAATTCTTTTTTCAAAAAAAAATGGGCTTTTAAGCCTATGATGAGCAATCCCAATAGATTCTCTACTGCATCACCCTTGCTTTCCACCTGTACCATCACCATGACCACTTTGGACAGATTTCATTATACTGCACATGCAAGACAAAAGTTTATAACCCAGCTTTTAATAAGTCCATTCTTCCGGTCCTAGTCCCTTCATATCCAAGGGTGTCAAAATATTATATGTCAATATCTAATTACTAGATTAAATTACTAGCATATTTGAGATTTATATTGTGAGGACCACTTGAGTGTGTGAAACCTGCACGCAACATCCAATGCAGACATGTTTCCATTAATTGCAGCCTTGGAGATATTTTGGACTGAAGTCCTAAATTCACTTTAAAATCGTCTCTATTTCACTAGCAACCATGAACGGAGTAAAACTTTTCCGTTAATTGGCTGTTTTCCTTGATTACTAGATATCATCTTGCCAAGTTAATGACTGGACCAGAGAAATGGATTAAACTCTTACATAGCCTAAGAGAGAGGAAGGATATCTGGGGGATGCTTTTGAATTGTATCTCATTTGTTTACATTGGGAAATGTAAAAAATGATTAAAAATTTCCTTTCTTAGTTATATCGTGTATTCTTGTTGAGACAAATAGATTGAAACTGCCTATTAATTGTCCAAAGTTTAGAAAGATCATCATCTATATCATGAAGAAGAGAAACAAGGTCTCAAAACACAGCTCCACCCTGTATAAAGGCCTTTGAAGATGTCCATAGCTTTGGCAGTGTTCCAAAATCAGCTGGCTCAGGGTGATCCAGCTTAATATAGAACACTGCAGCCCTAAAGAGTTGTGAAAGCCAGTATAGTGTCTGGAGCAAATTAACGTGTGACTAACACTGATGGACCTAACCTTCCACAGCGAGATATTTGTCAAGATTTCCTGAGAAAGGAAATTGTATATCTAAAAAGAATAGAATAAATAGTCTCTGAAATACACTAACACCAAGACTGTTTTCCTTATTTTTTTCTTTTTCTACTTTGAGGTAAAGATCCTAACATATAATCACTCAGTCTAGTGTGTTATGCTATTGATCATATATCAAAAACCAGTACTGGACTTTGTTCACTTATTTTTGGTTAGCTCTTCACAATTCTCAAAGAGAAAAACAGCAGATATCTCCAGTTGATCTGTGCTTGGTGATCACAGTAGTGATAACAGTTCAGTAAAGTAAAAAGCACTAAACTAAACTACCTAAATAGCTAGAGAAGCTGAAAAATTCATTCATTCATCCAAAAAACATTTATTTAGTGATTATTCTATGGCAGGCACTCTTCTAGGAATGGAAGTATTATAACTAATAAACTAAGTCTGTGCCCTCAGGGAGTTAATGTTTGTGTGTCTGATAGGCAAAAAATAGGGATGCACATGATTTTCAAGTGGTGGTAAATGCTAGAAAGACCAATGAGTAGGATAAAGGGATTCATGTTATGATGGGATGGGGTGATATTTTAGAGCAGGAGGAAATGAGATTTAAGCAGACAGCCGGGTGATATAAAAGAGTGAGCCACACAAATATCTGAGAAATAGCATTTTAGATAGAATAAAGAAGCAAAAAACAAACAAAAAAGATCTTCAGAAAGAAATATATTGAATTTATTTTCAGAATAGCAAGGAGGCACGTTTTGTTGAAGTAAAATGAACTAGAGGGAGAGGTCAGAGAAGCAGCCAAAAGGCAAAGTGTCAGGCTTTGCAGGGCGTGAAGAAGTCTGGATTTCATTCCAGGGTCCAGAAGGTCATTGGAGGGATTTTAGCAGGGGTAGGACATAATTCCACGAACACAGATTTTAAAAGGTAGAAGTGGAATCAAGGAGATCAGTTAGGAAAGAGATGATAGCTTCACTCCAGGTGTGATTGTAGTAGATGTGATAAGAAGCAGCAAATATTTTGGAAATGGATCTGAAGATATTTGCCGATGGCTTGTGGAGTGTAATTTGAAAAAAAAAGAAAGAAAGAAAGAAAGAAAGAAAGAAAGAAAGAAAGAATCAAGAACGGTCCCAATATTTTGCCTTGAGCATACAAATGAATGGAGTACGACTTACTGAGATATGGAGAGTGGTCAAGGCAAATGGGAGAGCAAAGATTTTAAAGAAAATAATGGGAGTGATGCTGGATGATATAAATATGTATGAGGATTAGAAATAAATCTCAAAATCTTAGGTGCTACAACATAAAGATCACATTTATACAAAAATCAAGACACTTTACCATTAATTATGTTTCTAGAAGGCAATAGGCATGGGCATTGGGAAGAGATTTTTTAAATTTTCTTTTTTATACATTTCTGTGCTTGTTCAGTCTTCTTATAAATCTTGTTCATGTATCAGTTATTTTTTAAAAATTTCAATACGCCAATAATACATTAATAAAAGTCAAGCCATTAAATGTGAGATTATACGGTAAGCAGACAAAATGAAAAATCAACTGCATTTACCTGCTTAGAGAGGATGTAAAACTATCCAGCTTCTACACCCTTTAATGAGTCTTAGAAGAGGACAGGTGCATCTTCAGCCCCCTCTTCTAACTTTACATTTGGCATTAACATCAACTTGTCCCTTAGTTTAAAGTTTGCTTTCTTTCCCCGGCTGTGTCTTATGCTGTTCCACTTGTAGTATGATATGCTCTGCCTCAGGCTCTAAAATGGTTTATACACATCTATCGCAAAAGCATTTGTCATCTGTTCTAATCCAGGACTGCTTAAGACCAAAACCAGTTGGCCTCAATTAGCTAAATGAGGCCTGTTTGTTTGCTCTTTGGAGCTAGGTAGCAAACACAAGCGTATTCCAACTTGCCATATTACCTGATGCCTTCAACATGAAATCAGTTGGTGCACTAGCTGTCATGAAGTCACTTTTTCTGTTTAGGTAAGAGAGTAGCCAAAACTCTTAGGGACATTTTAACAGACTCCTATAGAGAAGGAGTTAGGGTCTCTATTAATGTGCTCAGTCCCAGGATTCCTGGAACATGGGTTATTCTACTGATCTTCTCCCCTCACATTCTTCCAATGAATTACCCTTCTCCCCACACTGGGGTCTTATTTCATGGGTGTTCGTTAGCACACTTATAATGTCAACTTGCTATTTTTAAAGATATGATTATCGAATTGTTCATTCATTCTATTTTATTTTTTATTATTTATAATGTTTATTTATTTTTATTTTGAGAGAGAAAGAGAGGGAGAGAGAGAGAGAGAGAGAGAGAGAGAGAGAGAGAATGAAACGGGGAGGGCCAGAGAGAGAGGGAGATAGAGAATCCCAAGCAGGCTCCGCACTGTCAGCACAGAGCCCAATGTGGGCTTGATCCCATAAACCACGAGATCATGACCTGAGCCCAGATCTTTAGTCGGATGCTTAACCAACTGAGCCACCCAGGTGCCCCATCCAATTATTAATTCATTTTAATGTCAGCTTTATGAGGGGCAATTTTAAATGTACAATTCAATGAGTCTTGACAAATGTACCCAGTTTTGTAACTCAAAATAGAGAATATTTCCATCACCCCCAAAAAGCTCCTTTATTACCTCTTTGTAATCAATCCTCTTCCTGCCCCTCCAGCTTCTGACAACCACTGACCTGCTTTCTGTTGCTGTTCTTTTGCTTTTTCTAGAACTTCATATAAATGGAATCACACAGCATGTACTTTTTTGTGGATGGCTTCTTCCTCTTAGCATATTATTTATGAGATTCATCCATGTCTGTGCATGTACAAGTAGTTTGTTCTTTAATGCTATAAACTATTTTATTTTATGAATATACTGCATTTTATTCATCCATTTCCCAGTTGATGGATATTTGAGACATTTATAACTTATGTAAACTTATTACAAAATTTGCAAACTTGCTTACCAGTTTTTGTGTGGACATACGTTTTATTTCATTTGAGTAAATATCAAAAAAAAGTTTGCTGAGTTGGCTTTAAATCTACCACCTTACTATGTGTTTTCTATTGGTTCCTTTTGTTTCGTGCTCTTTTGCTGCATTTGTTTGGATTAATTATTTTTAGCTTGCCATTTTGTCTCCACTATTGGTTTATTAGCTTTAGCTCTTTTACTTGTTCATGGTTTCTCACGAGATCTATAACATACATGTGTTTAAACTTATCACAGTGTTGATTCACATAATAGTACACCAGTTTACACGCAAGAAACTTACAAGAGTATTCTTCCATTTCTCCTCCCCCTTTGTGCTATTTTTGTTGTATACCTTACTTTTACATACGTTATACACTCTGTAGTGCACTATTATTTTTTCCTTTAACTTGTCAAAATCTTTTAAAAGAATTTAAAATAGGAGAAAAATGACTTATAATTTCCCCCATCTTTTAACCATTTCTGAGGATCCTTGCCTTTTGTGTGGATCCAAATTTCCATCTGGTTATCAATTTCCTATTGTTTTGCCTATAATGTTTTTTATAGTATTGGTCTGCTGATAATGACTTTTCAGTTTTTACTTGCCTGAACATGTATTTATTTCATCTTCATTTTTTTTTAAATTTTTTAATGTTTGTTTATTTTTGAGAGAGAGAGAGAGAAACAGAGCATGAGTGGGGGAGGGCAGAGAGAGAGGGAGACATGGAATTCAAAGTAGGCTCCAGGCTCTGAGCTGTGCACATAAAGCCTAATGTGGGGCTCAAACTCACGAACCATGAGATCATTACCTGAGCCAAAGTCAGACGCTTAACCAAATGAGTCACTCAAGCGCCCCATTTCACCTTCATTTTTTAAAAATGTTTATTTATTTTTGAGAGGGAGAGAGGCAGAGTGGGAGTGGGAGAGGGGCAAAGAGAAAGGGAGACACAGAATCTGAAGCAGGCTCCAGGCTCTGAGCTGTCAGCACAGAGCTGGATGAGGGGTTTGAACTCATAGGCCATGAGACCATGACCTGAGCAGAAGTCGGACACTCAATAGACTGAGCCACTCAGATGCCCCTCACCTTCATTTTTAAGAGAGATTTTCACTGAGTATCAATCCCAGTTTGGCAGGTTGGTTTCTGTTATTTTCAAGTTGCTGTTTGGGGCTCCGTCTCAAACCTAAAAGGGATGCATTAACAAGAACAAGTGGAAACAAGGGAATTAAAGGTAATGGTGGCTTAACTGTACACGTGGCCAATACTTGTTCTTTACCACTGCCAAACTGCTGCTCATCCTTCTGTAGTGCTTAAGTCCCCAACACCAAGCCTTAGAACCAAATGTGGCCTCTTTCTTTTCTGATCACATGCCTAGTCCGTTTCTCAGCCTGCCTTGGAGTTATGTGTACCAATGTGACTGAATTTTTGCTTGTGGAAAATGAGCAGAAGAGATAAGTGCTACTACCAAACCTGGACTATACAAGCCTCTAGTTTACAGCCCACTATGCTGAAAAGTCATCCCTGAAAAGGGATGGCAAAAATGGCAAAGCCATGAGAAAGAAGGAACTAAATTATCACTTGTAGGAAAAATGTCTGTCTACCAGGAATCCCTGTTTTGAGTTCATGTGAACAAGAAGACAAAAACAGGGGCACCTGAATGGCTCACCTGGCTGAACGTCTGACTCTTGATTTTGACTTGGGTCGTGATCTCACAGTCTGTGGGATCGAGCCCCACATTGGGCTCCACGCTGACAGCACAAAGACTGCTTGGGATTGTCTCTTGTCCTCTCTCCCTGCCCCTCCCATGCTCTCTCTCTCTCTCAAAATACATAAACTTACAAAAATAAAAATAAATAAATAAATAAAAACAAAAACACTTAGGTTAAAGCCACTGATTTAGGGGCACGTGTCTGTTACTTAGGCCAGTGCTTGCTTAATGAATTGTTTTTCTGTTCCACAACATCTCATTCTTTTCCAGCCACTCACAAACAAATGAGATATATTTCAAAAAGCACAAAGGTTTGAGTTTTTTCTGTTATTGATTTTCTCTTTCTAAGACTGATGTTGAGAACATTGAATATGGTAAGGCTGTGCAGGGTAAAATTGTAGGCATGGGCCTGGGTGTCAATCAAACCTTGGTTTGAGTCCCTGATCAACCATGTACTAACTAGGTGACCACCTTATAGTTTTCTTATCTGTACGACTGGAGTATTAATTCTTCCCTTAGAGATTTTTGTAAAGCTTACATAAGATACTGTACGTAGAATGCTTTGCTCAGTGCCTGACGCAGTAAGAATGAATAGTAGCAAGTACTGTTATCCCTCCCCCCATATATTATTGATACATTATTGATACAATCTATGTAAAAGTTTAAAGAGTCCTAACTCACACGTGCCATCACTGAAGAGTAATTGTAGTTTAAAGTTTGTTATTAATTATTTCTTTCTGAAGATACACCAGAATATCTTCTACACAGATTATAATAGGGTTAATTTTAGATGAATCATTAATAAAGAAATCAAATCCTCCTTTCCATAAAAATGTGTAGGTATTATCAACTTTGAAATAAGGGAAAAGTTCAGATGTATTCATAATCCTGTGGTTTGCAATCTGACTTGTGGTTCAAGGCAGAGGATTACTTAGGCCCCAAAGGCCCGCCTAATCTTGTCAGAGAGGAGATAACCAGAGTGAGGAAGTATTTTCTGTGCCTTCACCTTTAAATTATAATGCTACTAGTTGCTTTTATCTCACAAATTGTCTGCCAAAGTACCTAGTTTTTCTAAGATTAAAGTCCTAGGGAATGTTTGAATACTAGATTATAGCTAGACTGTCCTGATATTCCAACCCCCCCACCCCAACGAACTATTTCTCCAATTGAGCTCTACAGGTCTCTAACCCTAGGCCTCTGTTTCCAAAAATTTTTTTTAAAGCTTTTTAATAATCAAGCATATCATTCTGTTCGTATTAGTCACACAGTAAAATACTAGTTTCATTTGCAATACTGGATCCATTCCTCTGTGACTCGAAGAGGCATCCAATTCCAAGGTAATGAACTAGGGTAATTATTTAAACTGCTCTCTTATACTGAATACCACACAAAACAACTTAGAAGAAAAATTATAGCTGTATCCTTAGCACACTCATACATGCACAGAAGTGTTTTAAAATGTTGCTATAAAGCTCTTTACTTGGGACTTGCAAATGAAAAACACCTCAGTTACATAGGTTATAAACTAAACAAATCATTCCAGGAAAAAAAAAATGCTGATTTGAAAAGATACTCTCTGAGGAAAAAAGAAAGTTCAGGATGTGACTTTTTTTGGCTGCTGCTGGGGCAAGGAGAGGGGTGGTGTGGGGTGTGTGTTGGGGTGGAGTGGTGCTTGAGGGCACTGGGGGAGGGTGGAGGGAGAAAGGGAAAGAGAATATAAAAGAATCACATCTTGAAAATCTATGACTTAAAGAACATTAGGGGCTCCTGGGTGGCTCAGTCGGTTAAGTATCCGACTTCGGCACGGGTCATGATCTTACGATTTGTGGGTTCAAGCCCCACATCAGGCGCTGTGCTGACAGCTCAGAGCCTGGAGCCTGCTTCAGATTCTGTGTCTCCCTCTCTCTCTGCCCCTTCCCTGCTCGCACTCTGTCTCTCTAAAATAAATAAATGTAAAAAAAAAATTAAAAAAAAAGAACATTAGAATACAATGAAGATTGTACAGTATTGAACAGTTTTGAACAATATTTCCAATATTG